CTCCCACCGTATCACAACAACCCATTTGGATGCAAGACTTTGCCTAAGTGAAATTTCTACAGTGTTGTCGTCACTTTCTGTTTTACTTTTTACCTTTTCATTTTAATTATGTACTAGAAGCTTCCACTTGTATTGATCTTAGCAGCTGTCATGTGATCCGGAAATCTAGGGAATTTGTTAGAATGATTTCCATTTCCTTATAACCGTCTTTTACATGAATGAAAAGAGAGCGAAAAATTTCTCCCAATTTTACATTGGATTCTAACCTCTTTCTTCTTTTCTGGAGTTGCTCTAACTCGAATAGAGCCGATAGGTTAATACTCTATCATTTTGGTGATTTCATTGAGAGATGCAACCACCGTGGACCCTGTGATGTAGGAACGGATGGAAGGGGGAGAGCAGCCATAGACAGTTTCAAACAGGGTCATTTAAATGGCAGAGTGGTGAGTGGTGTTGTACCAATACTCTGCCAACGGCAGGTAAAACAGCCACTATTTTGGTGTATCCCCAGTCAAGCAACGCAAATAAGTCTCCAAATTGCGGTTGGTTACTTCTGTTTGGGGGTGGTAGGAACTGCTAAAAGCTAAGGTGGTACCCTGTAAACGAAATAGTTCACGCCAAAATTTACTCACAAAAACCTTGTCTCAGTCACTCACAATAGTCTTTGGCATACCATGAAGCTTGTAAACTTCCGCTAAAAATACAGCAGCAAGCATAGATGCGGAGAACGCAGCAGGTAGTGCTATGAAGTACGCGTACTTGAATAACCGATCTACCACAACCCAAACAGTCGTTTTTCCTTGCACCAGAGGTAAATGAGTTATGAAATCCATGCTAATGTCTTCCCAAATCTGACCCGGAATGGGTAATGGGTTCAACAGTCCGCCTGGTTTCTGCGTCGATGTCTTGTACTGTTGACAGGTTACACAATTCTGCATGTAACACTTGACATCCTTAATCATTTTGGGCCAATAATAAGTGGCTATCAAACGTGCCATCGTTGCTTTGACCCCGGAATAACCTCCTACAGCAGAAGCATGTGCCTCATGTAGCAAATAAGAGCCCAAATTGGCTTCGAAAGGAATGAATAAACGACCCTTGAAATAGAGAAGACCATGTTGCATTGTAAAGTGAATGGGTTTGCTACTGGAGCTACTCAATTTAGACAATAATTCCAGCCCAATCTGGGTATTTGCATAAAAATCAACCAATTGTGTCAACAATAGTGGCTGACTTGCTAACAGACTAGTGTATACTGACACTGTAGGTTATGGAATTCGGGACAGTTCATCAGCTACTACATTACTGCGCCCTGGAGTATAAAGTATTTCATAATCAAAACCCAATAATTTGGTGAGCCATTTCTGTTGCGCCGACGTTTGGATTGTTTGTAAGAACATGCCCCGTAAACTCTTTTGATCCGTATAGATGTGGAAATGACGACCAAGTAAGTAATGGCGCCATTTCTTCACAGCCGACGTGATCGCAAACATCTCGCGCTCGTAATCAGATGCTGATTGCATTCGTGTGCACAACTTCTTACTAAATAATGCAAGAGGGTAAGTAGCTTGAGACAACACTGCTCCAATGGCGATACCAGAAGCATCTGTGGTGACATCAAACGGGAGTTCAAAAATGGGTAAAGCCAAGGTAGGCAACTGGATCATAGCATCCTTAAGTGCTTGGAATGCCTCTACAGCTTGCTCATTCCAAATGAAACCTTTGGACTTCAAAAGGTCTATTAAGGAACTAGTAAGGGCTGCATAACCTCGAACAAAACGGCGGTAATAACCTGTCAATCCAAGAAAACCACGAAGGGCTGTAACTGAAGTAGGCACGGGCAATGCTGCTATAGCCTGTAGTTTCTCTGGGTCAGCTGCCACTCCATCGGCCGAAATAATATGCCCAAGATAACCAATCTGATTAACTCCAAACTCACATTTGGAGAATTTAGAAAACAGTTTGTGTTCGACCAAAATTTCTAACACCTGTTGGAGATGGTGCAAATGGGACTGCCAATCCTTGCTATAAACCAGTATGTCGTCAAAAAAAACAAGTACACTCTTGTGTAGAAATGGTCGAAACACCTCGTTCATTATAGCCTGAATATTTGAGGGAGAATTGGTGAGTCCAAACGGCATCACTAAGAACTCGAAGTGTTCGTCCATGGTCCGAAAAGCTGTTTTAAAAGTGTCTTCCGGTGCAAGGAGTATTTGGTGATACCCCGAACGCAAGTCTAGGTTAGAAAAAACCAAGGAGCCATGGAGTTCATCAAGAAGTTCATCAATTGTGGGAATAGGAAAATGGTCCTTAACCGTAACAACATTTAATGCACGGTAATCCACACAAAATTGCCACGTGCCATCTTTATTTTTGACTAATAAAACCAGAGAAAAAAAGGGGCTGGTACTTGGTTTAATGATTCCCTCATGGAGCATGTCATGGATCATATTTGTCATAATTTCTTTTTGGAATTGCGGGTAACGATACGTTTTTATATTGACGGGGTGAGTGTTTGGGTTTAGGTGTATATGATGGTTTTGGTGTCTATCTGGGGGAAGGCCTTTAGGGGTGTCAAAGATGGTGGCATACTGGTGAAGTAAGTCTTTAAGGGTAGGGTCAATGTTATTGTTGACTAGGTACTCTGGTTTGGTTGTGGTCTTTGAATCAGGTTTATCAAAGGAGGTAAGGTGAATTGAATGGGTAGAGTCAATGGCTTGGGTGAACATAAACCTACAAAATTGAGCATAAGATGCCGCAGTAGAGGTCATGGAAGTAGAGCCGGTGAGGGTGATCGGTTTGTTGTTATAGGTAAATTGGATGGACGGAATCGAATAGTCAGACAGAAAAGAACCCAAAGTTTGTAACCATTGAACTCCTAAGACAAGGTCTTCTCCATGAATAGGCAATATAAAGAATGAGATATAGAAATCTTGTTCAGCAATTCTCACCTACACGTCTTGACAACACCCATTACATTGAATGGAATCTCCATTGCCCACAATCACCGAAAAGGGAGTGTGTGCCACAACTGGAATGCCCAAAAACTCAGTAATCCTGGGTTTCATAATGTTGTGAGAGCTTCCTGAATCAATTAGAATTGTAACCCCTAACTCCTTAATGTTACCATTCACACGCAGAGTTTTTGGAGAGGGTGGACCTAATAGCGGTGCCCGGGAAAGCTGAAAGTGTTCAGCACTCTAATTCAGTTCCTCCACCACCGGTATAGCAACAGGTTCAACCTGCTGATCAAGCAACATAGAGTCTAACTGCAGCAGAGTTGATGGCTCTAGAGGCGGCTCCTCCTCCGCCAAAAGCAGGAGAAATTGATTTTTCTGACAACGGTGACCAGGGCTGAACTTGTCATCGCAATTAAAACAAAGCCCTCTGCTACGCCGCTCTTGCATTTCAGTAGGGGATAATCGGCGAATAGGTATAGAATACGGTGGAGGGTTTCCTGCAGGACCAAGCAACGAAGGAGAGCTGGCACTTTGTGGCGGTCTTGCATAAGAAGGTTTGGAATCTAGAATTTTCGCCTCAACCAACTTCGCCAACCCAATTGCTTGAGTAATGGAGTGAGGTTGCAAAATTGCAAGCTCACGTTGAATGTCGGCACGTAACCCTGAAATGAAACAATTAAGCAAAGATTCGGTTGAAAGACCCAACACCCGATTGGAAATCGTCTTAAATTGTAGTTGGTACTCCGTCACGGTGCCGACTTGATGGAGCTTAAACAATGCCGCTTGATGATTAACATCAGAGGAAGGGCCAAAACGTAACTCTAACGCGCGAGTGAAAACCGACCACGTCGAGAGTTGTTGAGTGGAGTCAAGCCATTTGAACCACCCAAGAGCTAGGCCTTGCATGAAGAACGGAACCAAGGCGAGCCTTTGAGTGTTTGGCATGTTCGTGAGGTCGAAATACTGTCCTGCTTGAAATATCCACTCAAGAGGGTTGGAACCATCAAACGGAGACAATCGTACCTTGGCCGCTTTGGGAACAGGAGTGGGAGGGACGGAACCACTACCTGAAGGTTTGTGGTTAACGACTTGCTCTCGGATAGATGCAATTTCGGTTGCCATTACTGTATATTGTCGTTCAAAAGCCAGTTGCATTTCTTTGATCTGAGCTAACACATCTTCTGGTGTTATTTCAGGAGAATCGCCGCGAGGCATGGTGAATGAAAGCACCAAAATGATAGGGTATTAACCTATCGGCTCTATTCGAGTTAGAGCAACTCCAGAAAAGAAGAAAGAGGTTAGAATCTAATGTAAAATTGGGAGAAATTTTTCGCTCTCTTTTCATTCATGTAAAAGACGGTTATAAGGAAATGGAAATCATTCTAACAAATTCCCTAGATTTCCGGATCACATGACAGCTGCTAAGATCAATATAAGTGGAAGCTTCTAGTACATAATTAAAATGAAAAGGTAAAAAGTAAAACAGACAGTGACGGCAGCACTGTAGAAATTTCACTTAGGCAAAGTCTTGCATCCAAATGGATTGCTTTCTAGCCCTTTAACTCTTTCTCAACACTGGGCCTCCAACCTCATTAGGTCCAATAGCAGAATTTTGGTTTGAAGGGGGCTCTGAACCTGTATCAGTGTGGTTTTCGGATGCAAGAGGATATTCCACAGAAGTCCTGCTAGTCTTTTGATGAAGGTTGGTGAAACAACAAAACATGAGGAAGCAAAATTGAAGGAGATACAAAGGGTGTGGAAAGCAAAGGTGCCTTTCAATATTCCTTATTATTATTAAGTTGGCTTAAAAAAAAACTGACATGGTTTATACAAAGTTTATTTGAATTAATTAATTAGTGACTTTTATTTATTTATTACTGAATCTACTTATGAAACATCTGTTACATATTATACTATTGTAAAAATATTTACTTATGACATAAAACATACAAGTAAATTGCTTAAGTGATTCTGTACAACAAACTAAAATAAAATAAAAATTATACAAAATAGAAAATTATTCACATTAATTTAATTTATTTAATTGAAAATCCCTTGCCCTGGTGACAATATTTTATTTGGATCAAATTGAGCCTTTCTGTTCTCAAAAACTTCCCATTTGTGACCAAAATGTTCAACCCATTCTTCATGTGTTTTCTTTTGGGGAAGATATTGCTTCATCCCTATACCAACATCTTTACAAAATTGTATTATTTGTTGGTTTTGATCTTGAAATTCCTCTAACTTATCAAATTTAGTTGTACGCAAAAGACTCACAACGTAAAAAATTTCTTCATTAGGTGTAACTGCCGACATATTATCATTCCATCTGCAGTGGCGGAGTTAGGTTAAAATTTTGGAGGGGTAAAATATTACTATAATCACGAATTTTCTTTTTATTATTGTGTATTTAATTAATTAATTAAAATATAATATTTAAAAAATATTATCATAAATCTTACTTTGTTTTGTTTATTGGGTAGACTATTACAAGTCCTGCTGTAATATTTTGTTTAAGGATAATACCCTTGAATACACCTTCATCAAAATCAGAGATTCTAGACTTTGGAACAAACATATTTAACCATGGATGTGGAATATCCCAAAGTCCTTGTGACCTTAAAGTAAGTTCATCAGAATGAACTCTATTTAAAAATTCTTCATATGATACATCTTTTTCAAATATAAAAGTAGGGACAAAGTTTAGTCCTTGAACTAAAGTTTCAATTTCCTAAACAAGAAACAATGATATTTATAAGTTAGTGATGAAATCAATTAACTATATATATCAAAATGAAAAATAATTAACATGATTAGTTAAGTTAGTTAGTTACCTGATCAACGTGATCTTGAGAGTTAGCGTCGTAATATTTGACGAGTTCAATGACGTAGATGATATTATATTGTATTATCAGAGAAGTTACGCGAGATCGATCGGTCTCGAGATAAAATGATAGATCTAGTGGTGGTTGATTTAGTAGCAACATGCCTTCTATATAATTGGGTGCATTTGTTTCATTTATTCCATTGAAAGAGATTAATTGTTCTTGATCTTGAGAAAATGTAGAAAAGTTGTTGTAAAGTAAACGGAGCCACTTCACCTACAAGAAATTAATCAAACATTTGAAATTGCATTTTTTTATAATTATTATTATGAGTATGATTTAATCCTTTTAAGCTACTTTCTAAAATTATTTGAGGTTTTATGATAAAAAATACAATAAAAAATATTTTACTTACCCTTTGTGGTGCAGGTCCTAGAGCTATTCTGGCTCTGGTTATAACCCCAAATTGGCCCAAACCTCCAAGAACAGCATAAAATAATTCTGAGTTCTTTGTTGTAGAACAAGTCACCAAGTCTCCTTCACCTATTAAATATATATTTTTAATGATAAATTATTATAATTAATTATTAATATTATTACATTTTTTAAAAGATTGAATTTTAGATTTTTGACTCATCTAACCCTAATTCAACTAGTTCAAAATTGATTTAAATTATTAAATTTGTGTAGCATTTTTAGCCAAAAAAAAAAAAATTGCTGCATATATTTTTTAATAGAAAGAAAGACAATTGCTGCATATCTTTGTTTGATTAAATGATGAATATATGGAATCTTAGTAAATATACGATGAAGTCATGTGACAATAACATTTTTATTTTATTTTTGCCTTCCCATCTATATGTGCTGCGCCAAAATTATCAAATAATAAAAACCAAAAAGTCATTCTTCTATTTTCGTTTTTGTATTAATTTAAATCATATAAATGTCCTCTTCTATTTCTAAGTACAAATTTTGTTCTTTTTCCTCTAGGCCAGGGGCTAATTTTGTTCATATCTATAATAGAACAGTATTTTAAACATTATTTTGACACAATCTATAATAAAATAGAGGACACTGAATTTTAAATATGAGTACGAGGATGGATACTATGTACAATGAATATAAAGAGATAATTTTCAACTAGCTAGTAGACATAGTTAGACGTTTTCTTTGGATAATTAAATAGAGACAAATTTAAAATCTTCTATAGAGATATGATGTGACTTACAAGATATATTCTTCAATTTCTCGCATTTGATTTAGTTGAATAAAACAAATTCATCTTGTTTTCCTTGTTTTCAAATTTGACTTATTATGAATCCGAGGAATAGATAAATAGCTTATAGGACAGACATTTATTATGATACGTGTTTTATGAATAGATTTATATAAATTATTTTTATAGTAAAAATATTTTGTTTTTAATTTTATCTATTGATAAGTTGTTTTTATAAATTATCAAAAATTATAAAATAAAAAATCAATAAAATTTATGAAAAATTGTAAGAGTGTAAGATATTTTGATTAAATCTTTTGAACATTGCTGCAAAATTTAAGGTAATAAAATTTATGTAAGTTAATTTAAAAAGTATAACTTTTTCTATAATATTAAGATTGAAAATATGTCACATCAATCAACAGATTTCTATGATTTAGTTTACTTATACTCAAATAAAATTGTACTTTTCTTAGACTGAAAATATTTAATTAAACTTTTAATATATTTATTTAGTTAAAGAAAGTTAGGTCGGATACCATAAAACAATTTCATAATCGTTTTGGATACTTATATAAATAAATATACATATTATTATTATTATAATAATAAATTATGAAGTTATTAGTTTTTTTAATAACTTAAATTTATTAATCTACATTAAATTTTTTACATATTTGAATATATTATTATTAACTAGAACTCAATATATGAATATCACATAAAAATATTAATATAAAACTTTATTATTTTAGAAAGCTTATGAAAAATAAATTAATTAATGTAAGATGTTTTTACTAAAGAATAGTTTCAGAGTTGAGTAAGATAATTCAACTAATAAGTTTAATAAGTTTAATAAGTTTAATATGTGTTAGTTGAGTTAAATTGACTTAAATAATTGGTCCATGATCTAATCTCTATCAACATAATTTATTTATAATATATTAAGGAAAAAAATTGGTGAATTTTATTAGATGTGATTTATATTTTTTTTTAATAAAAATATAATAAATATATAATTTTTTTTTTATTCTCTAAAAAATATTTTAGTATATTTATCATATTTTTATTAGAGAAAAATATAAACAACACCTATAAAATTGTATTTAAATATTCTCCGTATATTAATATAAAAAATTTATTGAATACTAATATTTAAATTTATTTAAATAAAATAAGTTAGTAGTAGATTAACAAGTCAACAAAGACTTTAGAAAGAGTGAGACTCAAGATAAAAATAACCATATGGAAAACTACAAGTCATACCTGTAACCACATCTAATTCATGAACATTAGAAATTTGAGGACCAAATCTGAAAGTTTGTCCACTAATCCCAGCATTAGAGAGTGTTCCACCAACAGATAAATACAAATAATCAGTCCAAGAAAGTGGTGTTAATCCTTTTTCAAGACATGCATGCAAAACATGAATCCAAATTTGTTCACCACCAACATCAACATAATCATCAAAAACAACAATTCCATTATTATTATTATTATTATTATTCAATTCAGTCATGTTCACCACAACACCATCATTTGTCATGGATTGTCCATTCACCGAATGTCCTTGCCCTCTAGCTGCTATAGTAAAAGGAATTAGAAGTGAGTTTGAGAATTCAATCAATTTCGATATGTCATTAATGGAGGATGGTGCAAAAATTGCAAATGCGTTTTGGTGAACTATGTGACCAAAATCTGTTGAGGCTAATGAAAGGGTTAAAGGGTCACGAATAAGCATTTGAAGAAGCTCTTTTGGTGCATCTAGTGGTGACCATGGTTGTGTTTGTGATTCTATTTTGTGGATTATACTGCTTAGAGATAGTAGAATCATCAAGGTTTTTGAAAATAGAAAATAACTAGCCATAGTTTATTTCTTGTTTGTGTTTCTGAAATTGTGTAGTTAGGTATTTATAGGAACCTTTAGGAAGAGATTATGAATTTTTATAATGTTATGTGTGTATGGATTTATACAAGTTGTAAACCTTGGATATGTAAATTAAATTACTAGCTTTTTCATTTGCACGTTTAGTCTATTGGGCACTAAAAACTTGGATTTTCTTTTACTTCCACCGTCCAACAGTCCAACGTGGCAACTTAATCCCACTTGGCTAAGTGGTACGAACTCTTAAGTATGTGTTTGAACTCATGTTAGAAAACTAAATTAAGGTGAAAATGTAATAAAATATGAAAATAATTAATTCAAACTTTTGAGTTGACGTAATTTTGATACAATTTTAATTAAAATGATGGTGATTCAAATATACAAAAAATCTTATTATGACGGTGAGTAATCACATTTTTTCAACCTTTTATGCTAGTTTATTGATATTTATTAAAAATGATGAAAAAGTATTTTCTGTTGGGGGAGATACTATGAGCATTGATATATAGTGTAGGATTAGGTATATTTGTGAAAAACACACCATTTATCCACCTAAAATCTTAAGGTGATAGGTGAGTGAGTTCTCTCATTATATATGTTTAAGTCTCCACATTTCTATCCAATGTAAGACTATTTTCCCACTTACTCACACTTGCTATATTATTTCAACACTCCCCCTCAAGTGTGAGTCCACAATGCTCCCTCACTTGTACCGCCATTGACATCTTGCAACAGAACACCACTTCCTAGGCGCATTTCGATACAAGTCTCTTCTTGTCCTTTTATCGAACCAAAGGCTCTGATACCATGTTGGGGGAGATACTAGAAGCATCGATACATAGTCTAGGACTATGCACCTTTGTGAGAGGTACGTCACTTATCCACCTAAAATCTTAGGGTGATAGATGAGTGGGTTCTCCCACTTTATATATGCTTAAGTCTCCACATTCCTATCCAATGTGAGACTATTTCTCCACTTACTCACACTTGCTATATTATTCCAACACTCTCCCTCAAGTGTGAATCCACAATGGTCTCTCACTTGTACCGCCATTGACATCTTGCAACGGGACACCACTTCTTGGACGCATTTCGATACAAGTCTCTTCCGGTCCCTTTCTCGAACTAAAGGCTCTGATACCATGTTAGGGAGAGATACTAGGAGCATCGATATATAGTGTAGGACTAGACACCTTTGTGAGAGGCACACCACTTATCCACCTAAAGCCTTAAGGTGATAGGTTAGTAGATTCTCCCACTTTATATATATTTAAGTCTCCACATTCCTATCTAATGTGGGACTATTTCCCAACTTACTCACACTTGTTATATTATTCCAACATTTTCAAAGTTAGACTAATTAGGAATTTAAAGAAAAAGAGTTTTGTCAAGCATATGGCAAGAGTCCCCTCAATCCTCGGGCTTGTAAATTCAGGTTGGTGTTTTTTGGATTAGGGTTTACGATCATCTCTAAAGTTTTGATCGGAAGCAATTAGATAGTTTGAAGAATTTGATCTGAAAGAGGCAAATACAATAGGCAAGTTTTTGTGAATCAAAGTCAAAGTTGACCTTCGTAAACCCCTTAAAACAAGAATTGTCATCAAGTATCAAGATCGACGACTCAAGGTCTTTTTCAAGTATGAAAGGCTCCTAACTTTTTGCTTTGTATGCAAAAGGATTGGACATCAGCTCAAAGATTATGAGGACCTCAAAGATTATGTACCAGGTATGAGTGAGAGAGAGAATAAGGTGATAAGCAAGGGGGCTCAGGAGTTAGTGGAGGAAATAAAGAAGTGGAGAGCATTGCAGAATCTCCATGGGTTACTATGTTATCGAAAGGTAAGAAGGTAGGAGCTAAGAAGGCAAAGGGGAAAGGGAAAAAGGGCCCACCAAAATGGAAGAGGTGGAAGGAAGGAACGATGAAGTCAAACGAAACTATAGGGAAATTAGAAGTGGAATTGGTAAAGAGACGGCTTATTGGTGGAATGATTATAATAGGTTCACCGGATGATGTCCTCGGGTGTGTAAAGAAGAGGAATCAAGGGGTGGGGAAGGATAAAGAGGTCATCAAAAGTTATCGTAGGTGGTGTTAGTTGACATACATTGCCTAAAAAAATGAAAATTTTCAGTTGAAACTATAGAGGATTAGGGAATCCTCATACAGTTTAAGCCTTATCAAGGCTCACAAGATTGGAAAATCTCACACTATTGTTTCTAATGGAGATAAAACTCAAATATACAGATATGGAGAGAGTCAGAGTTACTTGTGGCTTCAACAACTACCTTGGAGTTAGTTGTATCAGTGAAGGAGGAATAACTTTGATGTGGAAGAATACTTTGAAAATCGTTATCACCTTTTATTCAAATTATTATATTGCGACTTACCTTAAGGATGAGAATAATGGAAAAAGGGTTACTTTTGTGGGTTAAGATCCTTCCATTTCTCTTTTCCTCCATTTTCTCCATTACTATAGTTTTGTGTGTAAATTGCACATATTTTTAAGACATGTGACACATATTTAATATTTATTTAACTTTATACACACAAAATTATAGTAATGACTCTTCCATTTCTTTTTAGGAAATGAAGTGGATCCCTACTCTACTTTTGTTGGGGTCTATGGATGCCCTGAGGAGCATAATAAGAAACAAATTTGGAATTTGGTCAGAAACTAGAGGCTCATTGATGGGATATGATGATATGCTACTTTAGAGATTTCAGCAATAAAATGAGTACCACAGACAAATTTGGGGGAAACACGAGAACAAATAACAAGCCGAAATAGGGTGGATAAACTCTGGAAGATCGTGACCTCATTGATTTTGGGTTTGAGGGACAACATTTTAAATGGAACAATGAAAAATAGGGGAGCGACAATATCCAATGTAGGTTGGTCAGAGATTAGGGAAATTCAGGTTTTGTTAACATGTTTTCACCAATTTGCGTTAGAAAAGTTTGTTGATAAGATAAAAATTAATAGGGTTATTACTATTTTACCCCCTGTCATACAGGTGATTTCTGGTTTATTTCCCTGTGATTTTTTTGTTGCAAAACTAACCTTGTCACTTGAAAGTTTTGTCGTTTTAAACCTTGTAAAAAATTTGTCTTTAAAACCAACCTTGCCACTTGAATCATTCTGTCATTTTAAACCTTGTAAATTGTTTGTTTGGTAAAACAAACCTTGCCCAATCATGTTTTAGAGGGTTTAAAATGACATAATCTTCAACCTTGACCAATAATTTTGACATTGACTAACGGTGGTAACGAAAAAGACTAGCGTGGACCTTTTTGAACAATTAAAGGATCAATTTAGAACTTTTTAAACTTAATGGACCAAAATGGATCCGAGGTAAACTTAAGGGACCAAAATGGACCCGGAGTAAACTTAAGGGACCAAAAGTGGTATTTTCCTTATATATATATATATATATATATATATATATATATATATATATATATATATATATATATATATATATATATATATATATATATATATATATATATATATATATATATATATATATATATATATATATATATATATATATATATATATATATATATATATATATATATATATATATATATATATATATATATATATATATATATATATATATATAAGTGGAATTCAACTTACTCCAAGAGTATTTTTTTTAACTTACTCAAAATCATTTCATTTAAATAAATCTAATCTGATATTTAATATTTTGTAATTAACATTTTTACTTAGTTAATCATTCAAGACAACGAAGCAGAGCAACATTGTTGAAGATGGTGATAAGAACACATAGTTTTTTCACGGGAAAACTTCTCAGAGGAAGAAAATAAACACAATTGAGAAAATAAGAGACAAGGCTGGATATTTGTGGAGAAAGGTTGAGGATATTGAGAGAGAGAGAGAGAGAGATAGTTTGCTTCCTACACTACGCCAAAATTGATATTTTATATCGCCTAATTTAATAGCACTTTTAAAGAAAATGTTATTAAAAAGGAAAAAACACATTTATAATAGCACTTTATGATCGGACTCTATTATAGAATACAAACAATGTGATTTTGATAGCAATTTATGAAAAAAAATGCTATTATTAAACTTCAATAAGATAGCGCTCTCTTAGAATCGCTATTAATAGTATACACTAAGATAACACTTTTCGCTAAAATGCTATTAATATTATTCACTAAGATAACACTTCTATTAGCGCTTAAACAAAAGTGTTATTATTTTCATAATATATAATTAATAAAATAAAATAAAATAAAAAACAAAACACGCTCCTATCACTACAACATTTTTATCCTATGATTGAATCGAATACATGTGTTTTGATTAAAACAACATAAGTGAAAATTCAGTGAGTGCTAAACGTAAAATTTATTCCCAAGCCCTTTGTGAGGAGAGCTTTCATTTCTTCTTGCCCCAGAGACAAGTTCAGGAACATTTCCTGCAGTTGAGCGGTCTGGTCTTGGATGTCTTTGACAGACCTTTCTAGAGCCATCTCTTACTGAAATAAACAGTATGAGAGTAAGAAAACCTGAAAAAGGAAAAACTGTTATGATGCAATGCATGATATGTGGATGCATGCTTTCAAGGATCTCTTGGGGTAAACACAAGAAAATGTTAGAGGTTGAACTTTGCTCTTGGATTAGAGAACTTTGCACCGGTGGATGTCTTTCCACGAGAGTCAAGCTCACCATGTCAAGTGGGTCATAGCCACTGATTCAAGTTGTTGCACTTGATTTTTGATTGGAGAACTTTGTATCGGTGGATGTCTTTCCACGAGAATCAAGCTCACCATGTCGAGTGGGTCATAGCCACTGATTCAAGTTGTTGCACTTGATTTTTGATTGGAGAACTTTGTATCGGTGGATGTCTTTCCACGAGAATCAAGCTCACCATGTCGAGTGGGTCATAGCCCCTGATTCAAGTTGTTGCACTTGATTTTTGATTGGAGAACTTTGTATCGGTGGATGT